GTTACAGTGACCCGATCTTTGTTTATTTTACTGTAAACTTTCTGTTGGTAATTAGTGAAAATATTGCGAAATTTCATGTTTCTAGCTGCATAAATGGAGAAGTTATAACGAAAAATCTCATATCTGAACAATCAGTTGTATGGGAGCTATGTATACGTTAGTGTCCCGATTCTTCCGGTTCCGACAAATGATTAATACATAATAAAAATACACTCACCTATCAAATTTCATCCGGATATCTCGAAAACTGAGAGACTAGATTGCATTCAAACAGACGGACAGACAGACAGACAGACAGACAGACAGACCGTTCCCACGACAGTCGGGTCTACGTAACCGGAACGACCCAGATTTATATTTGGCAAAGGACTGTCACTCCAGCAACACTCCCCAAAAACTCTTTGTGGAGCTTGTATGCTGCTACAACAACAACAACAACAGACAGACAGACAGACAGACAGACGGACATGGCTAAAACGACTCAGCTCGACGTTCTGATCATTTAAGTATAAATTTTAATGGGTCTATATCTTCTCATTCTGGTACTTACAAACATCGGACCAAAGTTATAATACCATTTCATGCTCAATTAGTCTAAAAGGGCATGACAATGTGCCAAAATATGGTAAAAAACTTCAATCTGATTTTAAAATAGCTATAAATTAAAAAGGAATCAGTTGATTGTAATACATCATATGTTTGTATGCATTTATTATTTTAAGTTAAACTGTGAAATGCTTACTTTTGTTCTGCATTAATAAAGTTCACTTAGTACCGTTTTCTCATGTTGGTTTTAAAATTTATCTGCCTTTTAAACACATTTTTTCTGAACAAAATTTGTGTTTAAAGGGCAGATAAATTTTAAAACCTACTTAGGAAACGGCTCTTATCCTACTAATATTATCACCCCTATTCTGCAACTCTTTCGTATTCGGATTTGGCTACGAATCGTAGAAATAGTATGCTACATTCCAAATCATATTTTCGAACTTTCGAAATTCGTAACAATGGCATGCCTAAAAACGAACGAGTAAGCTTTTTTGCGTAATTTTGTACGAAAACAATTCTGTATCGGAGGCGAAATAAAGGATGTTTTGGTGCGTAAATGATAACACAGTGTTTTATGCAATGTATAAAACTAATTTAATGGATGAACTTTAATTTTAAATACAATACAAAATGCGGTCCGCTATCGAGAAAAAAAAGATTCACCAGCGTAAGTTCGAGTCCAAAAAGTGACAGCTCACGTTGTAAAAAATGTCAGTATCATTATTGCGAATGACTTGTTGGGGATTGCCACATGACTCCCCCGCTAATGACCCAGCCGATCAGGTAGTTTAATCCGACGGCACGATCTTGTAGTTGTGATTGGCTGAGGTCCGATTGTAATTGGCTTGTAGTTTACTGATCGATTGTCCGAGTCGTCGATTACCTTTTCGATAAAGGCTGGTTTGTGGCGATCTATCGATACAATTGTTTGCCGTTGATACTTAGCTTAAAGTCTTTAGCTCCGTGTTTTATAACATTGAAAAGGCCCTTATATGGTGCTTGTAATGGTGCTTTGTGGCCGTCAATCC